GGCGCGTCGCTTTCCCGCGCCCGAGAGACCGCCAGCGCCACCCACGCCGCGGCGGGGGCCCCGTCGCCCCATCCCTCGCCCCCGCGACGCCGAAGAACCTTCGGCGCGCGCGATGTCGCTGCTCCCCGGCGGGGACGACTCTCCGGCGGGGCGCCCAAACAAACAGACCGCCGCCACCGAAAACCAATGCCAAGTCGCGGTAGGGGACTGATTGTTGGCTCTTGGCGCCCCTCCCTGCGAGGCGCCGAACCCGCCAGGGCGGCAGCCGAGTCGCCCGCAGGGGTGCGTCCCCGGGGGCGACCGCGCACCGCCAGAAGGCGCGCCGCAGGGGCGCGGGGCGAGGGAGCGGGGGAAAGGAAGGCAAGGAAGAAAGAGGAGGCGCAATTAAAGAGAGCGGCACGATACACGCGCAGCCGGGGCCGGCGCGCAGGTCTTTGGATTTCCTTTTTTCAAGAACACGGGGAGGAAAAAAAAGGGGGAAAAAAAGACGGATGGGGGGCGCAGAAAAGCGCGCCAGCACGAAAACATTAGGGCACAGTTACTAAAAAAAAATCGCGCGTGGGGGAAGAACGCGCAGGTTTACACAGCCGCTGAGCAGCACTCGTGTTTTTTTTGTATTTGGGAAAAACGCGACCCTTCATCCCCGCCGGCGGGTTGCCCTTACGCTGGCCGCCTTGGCTCTGCCAGTCCGCGGCGCGCAGCCCAATAAAGCAAATACAGCTACATGTCTTTCCGTTTCCCTTCCGTCTTCCTCTTTCCCCTCCTTTGTCGCCAGCGCGGCAGCAAACGTGCGGCAGCCGCCTAGCGACTACATCCGTTTTGTTTTGCTCTTTCGTTTCTCTTGCCTCGGCCCTCCCTGTTGTTCATTGACCTCCGCTACCTGTGCCATCAGTTTTCGCGCCTCTATACTTCGCTGCCTACATTTTTTTGCGGCGCCGTGTGGGCCTGCGCCTCCGCCTTGTCGGCGTGGATCGGGATCGCCTGCGTACCCACTGCCGCGCACCGCGGGATAAAGCCCACCGGCACCTTCTTGTCGAGATTCGGCATTTGCTTTGGCTCCAGCAGGCGCCGCTTCGCGTCGGGGTCGCCGATGAGCTGCCGTTCCCGCTCCTTTCGCTCCTCAATCTCGCGCCGGCGGCTGTGCTCTGCGGGTTTTAAGAAGTCCGGCACGACGGCGCCCTCCGCCGAGCCACGGAAGAGCGACGCAAGGGAACTCTCAACGTTCCTTGCGGGCTGGCGCCAACCCGCACCGGCCTCCAGCGTGTGAAGCGGCAGCGGCCGCCCCACGGGCACGCGGTAGCGCGACACCGTCCCCCCCGCCGAGCTACGCGCAAGCTTCTTCGTGTATTCATCGTTCCGCATCAACTCGTGCACCGACGGACGTCCCCCGCGGCCGGCTGACTCACGCGCCGTCTTCCCGGTAGCCGCCGTCGTCAGGAGGAAGCGCTGGGGGATTTGCGTCAGAGGCGGTTCCCCACGTGCGCAGGTTGCGGTGCTCGCCGACGGCTGCGTCTCCACGCTCATATTCTTGGACCTTCCCGCCGAGTGAATTCGCTGTGTGGGTTGTTTCCTCTCCCTTTGCCGACCTGCCACTTGACGCGGCCGACGCTGTCTTCGCTGTGGGTGTTGTGTCTGTATGTTCTGTTGCTCCTTGCGAGGATGCCTGTGCTCTGCGCTGTGCGACCCTGCAGACCACCGCCGTCCTTCGCACCACGCCGGGGAGGGGCAAATGGAAACGATTCGGGCAAAACTTTGTGAAGGTTGCGGGGACCCACCGAGACGACACACACACACACACTCTGAGCGGTGGGGAAGGGGGCCCGGCGGCGAAGGAGGCTATTCAATGCACATGCGAAGTATATAACCGCCCGCTCCCAGCCTTTATATATATATATGTATGTATGCATGTATATGTGTTTGTATTTCTTTTTTTTTTACTCCCCACCTTATCCTTCGCACACATTCACACGCGCACGCACCTCCGTTCTCCCTTCTACTGACTATTCCACTCACACAGCTTGTAACAATCGAGGCACAACTTGAGGTCGCCGCCGGCGGAGATCGCGCAGCCGCTGCACAGGGTGGATCCGCATCTGCTGCACTGCTCCCGCGCGGAGAAGAAGCCGAGCGCCTTGCCGCACTGACGGCACGTCCTGGAGTTCGCCTTCCCCGGCACGGAGCTCGCAGCGGTCAACGTCGGACGCCCAACAGAAAGGTTTTGCAACTGTCGCCGCATCTCTGCCACCTCCTTTCTGCGTGCCACACATGAGTCCCGCACAAGACCAGTAAAATAGCCCTCCCAGTCTTTGTGAAACGCCACTCTCTTCGTCACCCGCTGCGGTCCACCGCAAAGGTCTATGGAACAGTTGTCCCCATCGTGCCGCAGGTAAAAGGACTCCCAAAAGACAATGCGTTTGCTGCTACAGTTGGGTGCGATTCGCTGAATACCACTTCCGCGTTTCTTTGAGATGTACTGCCAGGCCGTTGCGGAGTCGTAGGCGTCGTTGACGAAGTAGAGCGGCGCGTTCCCCGCGCGCTCCCTCGCCGCCGCGCGCACCACGTGGGTCCATATGGACGCCGTCCCCAGACGCACCCCCTCAAACATGCGCTCCTTCTCCCCGTTGCAGAGGAACGTCCCGTAGAGGCAGGCGTAGACCTCCTCGCTGAGGTACTCCAGCAGCCGTGGGGTGAACTCGAACTCCCGCGGAAACTGGCGCACCACCTGAAACACCACGTCCATCCACTGCACAAAGATGGGCGACGGCTGCAGCTTTGCGGCCGATTGCTGCGCCTCCGTGTCGGACCCGGCAACCCCGGCGTCGGAGGTGTAGGTAGTCTCCCCTGGCACCTGATGACCGCACCGCTCCGCAAACTTGTGGCCAAACGAGCAAAACTCCTTCTCCACCAGCACACAAAACCCAATGATGGTGCGATAAAAAGGGTCTAGCAGCAACATGGCGGTAGCGGTGCACTGCGGGGTGCGATCCCACCCATCGGTGCAGTGCACGAGGCAGGAGTCGCCGAGATCGAGGGACTCGGCAATCTTGTTGGAGCACAGCAAGACCCGTTGGACGTGGCTCAGCCACCGCGTCCCGTCAAGCTGCTGGAGAAAATCCTCCCTCGCCTCCTTTCCATTGAATCTATGAATGAGGGTCTTCAACTTTGCGAAGGACTTGGAGATGCTGTGAATGTTTTCGATGCCGTGAAACTTCACCTCGCAGAAGTCATGAGTGGCGCCGCTCTCGTAACCCCCGCCCATGGCAAGGTTCGCATGGGCCGCGTTGGACGGTCGGCAGTCAACGACGAAGAGGGTTCGCTGAGATCGCGGGGCCGCTGCAGTTGTCTCCTGCGGCGCGGCAGATGACAGGCGCCGCCTCGCGGGCTCATCCAACGAGGCCTCGAAGAGCGAGGGCGGCGGCACCGGCCTGCTGCTGAGCGGCGCAAGCGACATCGCCACAGGGGCCTCACCGCGGGGTTCGGCGCTGTGGGCGTGGTATCCGCTGTTTGTAAACATGCGACAGAGCTCGCCGTCCTGGCGCAGCGCCGGGGACCTCGACAAAGGCTGCGAGGCGCGCGCGAGCACGGCGCCGCTCCCGAGGTGCACAAACGACACGGCGGGGAATCGCGCGCGGGAGCGGGTGGTCATGGCAGCCTCCAACAACTCGTCACTTGCGGCGTTGGGGACCACCACACGAAACGGGTACGTCGGCGACTTGCCGTAGCCGTTGCTCGGCTGCTTGACGCACGTCAAGCGAAACCACGGCCGCAGGTCGCGCTTGGGGCCGACGCGGGTCTCATCGCTGGCGCTTGGCACCGCCGTGCCGGGGGAAAGCGAGAGCTGCCGCTCCAGCTCTCGGTCCGCGTCATACAAATTCCAGCCAAACTCGACGGTGTCCAGGAGATTTGCAGCGCTCTCCGCCTCGACGCCGCCGCCCTCGTGGCCCCCGTCGATGCTGCGCGGACTATCACCCCCCGCCGCTGCCGCTGCCGCTGCCGGCCGGTGTGTTTCTTCAGTGTCATCAACATCATCCACGGTGACGTCTTCGCGTCGTGCGGCGTAGAGCTCCCTGTAGAGCAGAAAGGCCGGCATGCACTTCAGCTGCGGGGCCTGGAAGTACCGCCACAGATCCCGCACGGTGGTCGCCACACGCTCTCCCTGCAGCTGAACCTCCACCTCCCAAAGGTGCTTAGAGACGATCCTCAGCGTGTACCCGGCTGACGGGAAGTTGCTTTGGACGAGTGGCGGGGGCGCCATCTCCTCTGGCGAGTGCGTTGCCGCGTCGTGGTCGACAGCTGTCTGCCCCCGCCCCCACTGAAACACGGCACGCGGCTTCCCACTCATTGGTTTGCGCTGCACGTTCCACGACGCAATCGACAGGAGCGGCAGCGAGAAACCCAGCGCCTCCGCAACACGACCGCCCCCCTCGGGGCGAACCACAACCCGATAGTTGGAGATGGTCAGTGCACAACGCAGCGGCTGTCTGTCGTCATCTGCGGGGTACAGCAGGGCCGCCGCCTCGCCCTCGATGGCGGTGTGCCGGATATCAATGGAACTCCTCTCGCCGACCAGCTGCTCGGAGGATGTGCCTTTGGACATGGTGTGTGGGCTTTGCTTGCGCGCTTGCGGTTTGGCAGTAAAGGGAAAGAGAGAGAGAGAGAGCGGGGAGAGGTAGGGAGAGGAGAGACTCACCCGCCACACGCCGGCGGAGACCGAGGGAGCCCAGCGACGGTGGCGTTGCCCACCCAAGCCGATGCACGCACCCCTCCTCGCCGTCGCCTTGAGCTTCTTTTGCAGT